AAAGCAGGACTAGAAGAGCAAGTACAGATGTCTTAATATACCCCAACCAATCACCATTAGAAAAACAATTCAAATCAAATACCCTATGGTGAGCATGTCAGTAGAAACAGTTTTATATACAAAGGGTAGTACTTTGCAAAAGGACTATATTACAAAAGCCATACTGCATTTCTTTATAAAGTCAGACTCATCTAGAACATTGCTTTGCATTAATATTTACTGAGTTTCCACAGGCACACAGACCTAAGGCAGGAAGATGACAGCCCTATTTTTCACATTATAAAAACCTAAAATATATTTTGAAAACTCCTCAAGTTCAAATCAGAAGCAAGTTAAATTTTTCTTATTTTAAGAAAAATTGGGGTTAAAAACAACAAACAAACAAATATAGTCACACTGGGACAAATCCAAATCTGTTAAAGAAAAATGAAGTATGTACAAAACCTCCTGTAGAACTCCTGCTGGAGCTACCGATTATCTAAGCATGTGCATAAAAACTAACAGCCCTGCTGCTGAAGAACTATAAATTAAAAGATAAGCCTTTTCCTCAGTTTATTTTTCTTATGGTTTATTTTCTTATGGTTTATTATCCCTCCCAAGGTCGTTTTGGCTATTTGAGAACTATAAATTAAAAGATAAGCCTTTTCCTCAGTTTATTTTTTCTTATGGTTTATTTTCTTATGGTTTATTATCCCTCCCAAGGTCGTTTTGGCTATTTGGGGTCCCTCGAGAGTTCATATGAATTATAGGATGGCTTTTTCTATTTCTGCAAAAAACATCATTGGGATTTTAAAGAAACACTGATGAAAATGTAGAGCCAAAATCCGGCAATCTAAAATGAAGATTTACCTTTTACGTCACAATGGGACCTGTGTTATGTGTTCTATCATTCAAAAGAACTTTAAATCTTGTTCCAACAATTGTAAGGTTATAAAGGCAAAAACCTTTTTAAGTCAGGAAAAAATACTTTAGAACTGTAACTGTAATCAGGATTATTCTGCCTATAATCCATCAGAAGCATTCTGTTTTCTGTTTTGCACATATGTGGATGACCTGCATAAACAGGTGATTTCAGGAGAAACTAAGGCAAAACAGACACTGATAGTGAGAGGAAAAATGTAAAGGAAACATTTGATTCTGCCCACAATTTATACCCAATTGATGATCTACATATAGCTTTATAATACAAACATATTTTGCAGTTTCAGATATTATTGTTAAGGCTATTATATAAAATTCACTATCACTAAGAATTGTACACAACCTGAAGTCCACTAAACTGCTGCTATAAGGATTTCTCCTAGGACGATTTCCAGTATAAACTTAGGTTAGATATAACCCCCAAACGGTTTTAAAAATGAAAACCAAGAATTCACCCCTTTGGCAAGTTACAAATTTCCTAAGCTACAGTTAAAAAGAAAAAGGTGAGGTTTCTTGAAAGAATTCTTATGAATATAATTTTAAGATAAACAAGTAATACATGTGGTTTCTTACAACAACAAGTAAACGGGAAGGTTAATTACAGTCACATATGTTTTCGTCAACCACACACTGCACATATGATGGTGGTGTCATAAGTTTATAATGGAGCTGGAGGTGTATAGTAGGTTACACCACCTAGGCTTGTGTAAGTATACTCAACGATGTTCACACAACAACAAAAATGCCTAACACCACATTTCTCAGAATGTATCCCTGTCGTTAAGTGATACGTGACTGTATTTGTAATACAAAAATCTAGAGCTCTTAAAAAGTATGAGAAAACTAGGAAGGATAATTTCTAAGTTACGAGTTAATTTGGGAAAGAAAACAGCATTTGTAAATGAAAACGACCCTGAAATTGGCAACTGTAATCCCTCCCCCTTGCTCTACTTTGGGGTCTGTCCTCTCTAGGCAGGTTTACTTCCAGTTTCCTAACTGGCTCCCTGCTCTGGTCCTTCCTGCCTCCACTGTGCCCTCTACATGGTGTTAATTGATCCTCCTAATGTGTGGTTCTGATTGTCACTTCTTTGTTCAAAAGCCCTTAGTGACTTTCTACAGAAGAGCAAGCTCTGGAACTTGGCATTCCTGGTGCTGCGCAGGATGGCCCTACACCTGCAAACCTTTCTGGCCCAATTTTTCTTGATCTTGGCTATATCTCAGTCATGTGCCAGCCACACAGAACTNACTCCTGCTGGAGCTACCGATTATCTAAGCATGTGCATAAAAACTAACAGCCCTGCTGCTGAAGAACTATAAATTAAAAGATAAGCCTTTTCCTCAGTTTATTTTTTCTTATGGTTTATTTTCTTATGGTTTATTATCCCTCCCAAGGTCGTTTTGGCTATTTGGGGTCCCTCGAGAGTTCATATGAATTATAGGATGGCTTTTTCTATTTCTGCAAAAAACATCATTGGGATTTTAAAGAAACACTGATGAAAATGTAGAGCCAAAATCCGGCAATCTAAAATGAAGATTTACCTTTTACGTCACAATGGGACCTGTGTTATGTGTTCTATCATTCAAAAGAACTTTAAATCTTGTTCCAACAATTGTAAGGTTATAAAGGCAAAAACCTTTTTAAGTCAGGAAAAAATACTTTAGAACTGTAACTGTAATCAGGATTATTCTGCCTATAATCCATCAGAAGCATTCTGTTTTCTGTTTTGCACATATGTGGATGACCTGCATAAACAGGTGATTTCAGGAGAAACTAAGGCAAAACAGACACTGATAGTGAGAGGAAAAATGTAAAGGAAACATTTGATTCTGCCCACAATTTATACCCAATTGATGATCTACATATAGCTTTATAATACAAACATATTTTGCAGTTTCAGATATTATTGTTAAGGCTATTATATAAAATTCACTATCACTAAGAATTGTACACAACCTGAAGTCCACTAAACTGCTGCTATAAGGATTTCTCCTAGGACGATTTCCAGTATAAACTTAGGTTAGATATAACCCCCAAACGGTTTTAAAAATGAAAACCAAGAATTCACCCCTTTGGCAAGTTACAAATTTCCTAAGCTACAGTTAAAAAGAAAAAGGTGAGGTTTCTTGAAAGAATTCTTATGAATATAATTTTAAGATAAACAAGTAATACATGTGGTTTCTTACAACAACAAGTAAACGGGAAGGTTAATTACAGTCACATATGTTTTCGTCAACCACACACTGCACATATGATGGTGGTGTCATAAGTTTATAATGGAGCTGGAGGTGTATAGTAGGTTACACCACCTAGGCTTGTGTAAGTATACTCAACGATGTTCACACAACAACAAAAATGCCTAACACCACATTTCTCAGAATGTATCCCTGTCGTTAAGTGATACGTGACTGTATTTGTAATACAAAAATCTAGAGCTCTTAAAAAGTATGAGAAAACTAGGAAGGATAATTTCTAAGTTACGAGTTAATTTGGGAAAGAAAACAGCATTTGTAAATGAAAACGACCCTGAAATTGGCAACTGTAATCCCTCCCCCTTGCTCTACTTTGGGGTCTGTCCTCTCTAGGCAGGTTTACTTCCAGTTTCCTAACTGGCTCCCTGCTCTGGTCCTTCCTGCCTCCACTGTGCCCTCTACATGGTGTTAATTGATCCTCCTAATGTGTGGTTCTGATTGTCACTTCTTTGTTCAAAAGCCCTTAGTGACTTTCTACAGAAGAGCAAGCTCTGGAACTTGGCATTCCTGGTGCTGCGCAGGATGGCCCTACACCTGCAAACCTTTCTGGCCCAATTTTTCTTGATCTTGGCTATATCTCAGTCATGTGCCAGCCACACAGAACTACGTGCGACTCCAAATGGTCCACACTCCCGGGTCAGCTCTTTTGCTCATTCTGTTCTCTCTGGCCAAAATTCCCTTTCCCTTCCTGCCAAAATGCTACCCAACTCTCACAGCTCTTCTCCAATGCCATCTCCCCATAAGATTTTTTAGTCCAACTGGCTGTGATCCTTTCTCCTTTGATACTTAATATACTTTTAAGTGTTTCTAAAGGCACTAATATTCCATCTTATATCATAACCACTTGTCACTCACACCACAGGACTATAAACCCCGTGAGTCAGAAACTGTGTGATTCATGCTCTATCCCCTGAAGCAACCGCACAGTGCCTTACACACTGCAGGCACTCAGGGATGTGTCGAGTCAAACCGTACTGAAGTTCTGCTCCAAGAAAGTCACTGGAAGGAAAAACTTTGAGTGCACAGATAGAAAATAAAAGGGCTGTTGACAGTATTCTGAGAAAAAGTCTCAGAACATATAAAATGTAAACCAGTGGCAGAAATATTTTTCTTTTGTAGAACTAAGACCTGTAGACTTCTATAAGGTCATGATGGAAACACACACGCGTGCACGTACGCACGCACACACACACAAAACCTCTCTCTTTCCGGGTAAATAATAAACGAAACTTCAAAAAAATAAACTCAATCATTTCCCCCCAGTCAAGTTGCAGAGAGTAATACATGAAATGTTAACTAACAATTCTGTTACAATGAAATCACAAATAGTCCTGAAAGGTTTTATGTAATTAGCCTCATGAAAAAGTTGAATTCCTTCTTTTGTGAATGCACTCCCAAGTAACAGGAAGTCAGGCTAAAATTCACAGGCTTTTCTTTAACTACAGTCTCCAAGAATGAATGAATGGATTTGATAAGACCTGATACAGAGTTCACTAAAAGCCAGTGCTTAAAGTATTTGTGGAGAAGAACCAGTTTTTATTTATTTATTGGTGACTAGCCAATACAGGGATCAAACCCCGGACCCTGGTGTTATCAGTACCACACTATCCAATTGAGCTAACAGGTCAGCCACAACTGGTTTTCAAAGGTTGCCAACCTGTTGCAGACTGATATGCTCCTAAAATATAATTAAAATGCCATAGCAACGCCTAAGGGTTGACATGCACTTTCTGTAAATAAATTTGTCCAGGCCCAGTAAAGTTCTGTTTCCCCAAATCCACATATATCAACATGCTACAGATGCAGGGAAAGGTGGGGTATGTGCCTACCTTCTGCTCTTGCACCTCGAACACTGCTTCGTGAACACTGCAAGCAAAAAGGGAGGTAGGCAAATCGCTTAAATCCATCATCTCCTCCAAATCATCTTCATTCTCACCAAAAATCATCTCTTCTTCTTCTTCTTGGTCACTGCTACAGAGATCTGACTGGCTATCATTCCAAGATTTCATAGTGTCCCTTAGCATTATCCCCTCAAATCAGGTCTGTTCCGTCTTTAAAGTTCTAGGATGTCTAGCAGTTACCTACAGTTAAAAAAAGAAAACAACACAGAGATAAAAATAAAACTTTGAAGCCAAATAACGTACCAGTCAATCAATTTCTCAAGACAGTAATTCATTAAATGAAGCAGTTTTATCCAGGAAAGATAAATCAGCATTTAAATCAACTTATTACAGTCCTCATAAATGAATCCTATGTATACGAATTTGATCTGCTTAGTAAATTTTACATAATATATCTCACTGGCAATGATACATTAAAAAAAAAAAGCAAAAACTCTTCCAGTCAAAGTATAAAAAAAGGATAATATAAAATGAGATGATATCAATATGTACACTAGTTTACAGGCAGTAGGAAGAAAAATGTGAACCAGAACTGCCATCACATATTTGTTTTGGGTTTTAGGTCTACAACACTGAAACTGGCACAGCAGAATACAACCCACACAGATTCACTCACCATCTGCGCCCTGAAATATGTGATGAGCTGACTTTACCTTTCTTAACTAAATTGTTTTTTTTAATATACTCTCAAAGAGATAATTTACACAGAACCAAAATTTCTCTACAAAGTCAATCTTGGTTAATATCAGAAACATTTACAGTAGGCAAAATTTAACAGGGGAGAGAATCAAAAAGATATCTTTTTTTCTGAACTTTTTAAAATCACTCATTTTAAGCCAAAGACCTGGAGCTGGCAGCATCCCTCTTTAAATAATGGAACAGAACTGGTCTTGTATGGACTGTTTATGTGCATGTCTGTCTCTCCAGTGAACTGTGCCACCAGGACAGAGAGCTATGGACAGAACATTTTTCAAAAGGCCAACACGGAATTTAAGAAATACCTGTCAGGCACAAAAAATTAAGTGATCCTGAGTACTGCTACCTCGATATTACCTAATTTGTGATTTTCCTTTTATTTCAAAGAGCATAAGGTCACAAATATATTGTTTATGTAGAGTACATTAGAGAACAGTAATTACAGGATAAAAATAGGGGTTTTTTTTGTTGTTGTTGTACTATATCAATCAAGACTAATTCTAAGAAGTAAAATCTTTACTCATTTTTATAAACATTTTCTGAGTGTCTATTGCTTGGTATTGGGGATCCTGGATGAATAAGACATGGTCCCTGCCCTCAAGGGGCTCTCATCAAAGAATTTCTCTTCCTCAACAATGCTAACCACTCTATTCTCCTAAAGGATCTTGTTCCATTAATGGTCTGCTGTATTTTCAATTTCTCCTTCTCCGCCTGTTCCTTTTCCTCAGCAAACACACGTGTTCGAGATCCCCACCACTTGGATTCTACCTTCCCCTCCATCTACCTGTCTCTCCTTCACCTTTCTTACCCACTTCCTGCAAAGAGAATCTATACTTGCTGCATTCACTCCCTGTACTCTGGTCACTTCTGAAAGTACAGTTGGGCTTCTGCCACCATCTTTCGACTGCAACTGCCTTCATTATGGACAGCAGTGGTTTGCTAATAGTTGAAACCTAATTTCAGGTCTCAGCCTATCTCTGTAGCACACGACCTTGCTGCCCACCCGTTGGTTTGCAGACCTCTCTGCGCCCCCACCTTCTGAGTCTTGGTCCTTCCTGGCTCTTCTTCCTCATCAACTCTGTCTTTTTCTCTGGCTCCTCTTTCTCCACTCCCCCTGTACAATTTAGTCTCTTTGAAGTTTCATCCCCATCCTTTTTTCCTCATC